TTGGTTCTTCGAGCCAACAAGATTGGAGAAGCAAATTGGTCGAATATTTGCAAAATCCCAATTTGAAAGTCGAAAGAAAAATCAAACTCTAATCCCTCAATTATGTCTTGCTGAATAATGAATTATATAAAAAAGGTTTCGATGGAATTTTATTCAAATGCCTTGGAAGTCATGAAAGTTATATAGCTATGGCAGAAATACATGAAGGCATCTGTGCAGCACATCAAGTAGGTGAAAAGATGAAATGGGTTTTATCGAGGAAAAGCTTTTATGGGCAACTATGATTAAAGATTGTATCGAATTTGCAAAAAGCTGTGAAGAATGTCAAAAACATGGGCCAATACAAAAGGTACCTGCAAGTGAACTGCATTCGATTATTAAGCCTTGGCCATTTCGAGGTTGGGCAATCGATATAATAGGGCAAATACATCCACCTTCTTCGAAAAATCATAAATATATATTGGTTGCCATAGATTATTTGACAAAATGGGTTGAACCTATTCCCTTAAAAGAAGTCGAGCAAAAAGACATAATTGATTTTGTCGAAGATCATATTATTACAAGGTTTGTGATTCCTCAAACAATCACTACTGATCAAGGCACACTGTTTACAGGTCGAAAAGTTGCTCAATATGCTGAGTCTAGAGGAATTAAGCTAATAACTTCAACACCATATTATGCACAAGCAAATGGTCAAGTCGAGGCTGCTAATAAAGTGGTAATTGGTTTAATCAAAAAACATATATCAAACAGGCCTCGAAATTGGCATGAAACTCTTGTTCAAATACTATGGGCTTATAGGAATTCACCTAGAGATGCCACGAAGACTACCCCTTACAAACTGGTATATGGGCATGATGCTATTCTTCCTTTAGATATTAATTTGCAATCAATTCACATGCAAAAACAAAATGGTTTTCCTATTGAAGATTATTGGAATTTAATGTATGATGAATTAATATCTTCAGACGAAGAAAGATTAATCACGTTGCAAAACCTTGTTCAACAAAAGGAAAAAGTTGAGAGATCATATAATAAGAGGGTCAAAATACAACGATTTCGAGTTGGGGACTTGGTGTTAAAAGTGATCCTCCCCATATTTTATGGTACCCATTATAAGTGAAGAGTACCAGAACAGTCCAACGTTGTTTTTTTTTTTCATTGTTGTTAACCAGTATAAGTGAGGAGTACCAGAACAGTCCAAATTTTGTGAAAGAAAAAACTAAAGGGATCAAATCAATTCGAACTTTAAAGTAGTATATAAGATAAAAAAAAATGTAACTAAACTAAAAAATGTAATACAAGATTAAACCTAGAACTTAAAATAGGATTATTGTGATAAAAGTCACTTTATTTCTAATTAATGAAAAATGGAAAAAAGTACAATTCTAAGGACATTGAATTTTTCTTTTTTTAGTAATTGAAAGACATTAATTAAAGAATAAAATAAAAAGATATAAACAGTGTTTTCAATATTTTTAATTTTATTGTGATTTTAAAAATAATTTAATTATAATTTTAATAAACACGATACTAATAAACTAATAAATGCTTTTATGTTTCTCGTTGATAAGATTTTTATTAAGAATTTATTTGGACAAATAACTTATTTAATATTTTATTTAATAAACTTTTATGTAATGAAAATTTATGTTATAAGTGTTTAAAATTCAATAAGTTGTTACATTTAGATATACATATTAACAAATACTTATACAATTTTGAAGTGTTTAAATGTATTATTATTTCAGCATTTACAAGATGTTATTTTGTTTAAAAAATTAGAAAATTACAAATTAAATTTTAACTAAAAATTAAATAAAAAGGCTTTAAAATTTCAGCACTACAAAATTAGCTAATTTTAAATTTAGTCTCTGTAAAAAATTTCTTTGTTTTTCATCCCTCCAAAATTGAAACTATTTTTTTTATCTTTATTTTTGTGTGATCCTTTTTAATCATTTTTTTATTATTAAAGATTAAGTGGACATCCTACTATATATTACATATTACTATTAGTGATCTCATCTTAATATCTAAAAGTTCATTTAGATTTTTAAAATAATTGTTATTTGTAAAACAAAGTGACTTTAAATTTTATAACGATGAAAATCAAAGAAAAATATTTTATAATGATAAAATAAAAATTTATTTATTTTATGAGGGAAAAAAATATTTATAAATTTTAGAAAGATGAAAAATAATTTTTTTAAAATTATGAAAATTAAAACTCCTAATTCTACCAAGATTAAACACATTTTTTAGTAAAAGAAAATATAAAGGTATTAAATAATTTATAAAAATAACATTACACATCACAATAAATATTATATAATAATAAAAATTATTAGTTATTGTTCCGGCCAAGGGGTGAACTAGGGTTTTTCCCTAGGTCAAGCCTCAAAGCCAGAGCATTCAAAAGTGTAATCTGTCGTCCTAGCTCTAGGGTTTTGGGTTTTATACTTTTGTGTTATGGGCTTCGTGGGCCCCGCGATTATCGGGATCTCCCTTAACCGTTCTTATCTCGAAGCCCTGGGGGAGAGTGGTGGTTAGTCAAGTCGGGATTTTACCGACAAGGCCGCTACAAGGAGACCTGTCGGGAAAATGGCGAATGCCCTCGTGGGTGCATGTAATTGGGTTAGAGCCGATTTGCTGCACGCTGTGACGGTCCAGTCGAATATTAGACGAGTGGGGGGTCTAGTCGAAATTTTACCGGGAAGGTACACTTGCCTTCCAGCCCTGAGCCGATAAGGCGAGAGGGCTTGTGGCCTGGAAGACTAGTCGAATATTAGACGAGTGGGGGGTCTAGTCGAAATTTTACCGGGAAGGTACACTTGCCTTCCAGCCTTGAGCCGATAAGACGAGAGGGCTTGTGGCCTGGAAGACTAGTCGAATATTAGACGAGTGGGGGGTCTAGTCGGAATTTTATCGGGAAGGTACACTTGCCTTTTGCATTTGTTTAGCCTTCTAGTTTCAATTCTCTGTGTAATTGACTGACTTTTGCGTATCAATAATTTGTCTTTTTTACCAAGTTTAGCTTTCAGGCTTTGTCGCTTTGTGTGTTGTTATTCTTTCCCTTGGTGAGACGAGTGTGACTTAATGATAAAGGAGTGTTTTTTCTGAACCTTTGCCTAAAGGAATTCAAAATTTTTCAAAGTTAAAAATGAATATCAAATCATCTAGTCGTCCAAATACCGACTAGGAAAATATCAAAAATTTTCAAAGTTAAAAATGAATATCAAATCATCTAGTCGTCCAAATACCGACTAGGAAAACATCTAGTCGTCCAAACACCGACTAGGAAAATATCAAAATTTTTCTAAGTTAAAAATGAATATCAAATCATCTAGTCGTCCAAATACCGACTAGGAAAACATCAAGTCGTCCAAACACCGACTAGGAAAATATCAAAATTTTTCTAAGTTAAAAATGAATATCAAATCATCTAGTCGTCCAAATACCGACTAGGAAAACATCTAGTCGTCCAAACACCGACTAGGAAAATATCAAAATTTTTCAAAGTTAAAATGAATATCAAATCATCTAGTCGTCCAAATACCAACTAGGAAAACGCCAAACTTTTTCAAAGTTAAAAATGAATATCAACTCCTCTAGTCATCCAAATACCGACTAGGAAAATATCAAAATTTTTCTAAGTTAAAAATGAATATCAAATCATCTAGTCGTCCAAATACCGACTAGGAAAACACCAAAATTTATCTAAGTTAAAAATGAATATCAAATCATCTAGTCGTCCAAATACCGACTAGGAAAATGTCAAAATTTATCTAAGTTAAAAGCTGAACCTTAATGCGAGAAGTCGTCCAAAAACCAAACAAAAGAATGGGAGACTTATAGTCTTCGAATTTTTTTTTTTTTTTTGTACTCGCCCAGTCGGACTTTTGCCGACAATCACGAGTTTGTCTTCGAGTTATTTATACTCGCCCAGCCGGACTTTTGCCGACAATCACGAGTTTCATCAATCGAGTTATTTATACTCGCCCAGCCGGACTTTTGCCGACAATCACGAGTTTTCCTGCGAGTCAATCAATTTGAAAATAACGATTTTTATTATTTGATGTTACCTCGTTAAAAACCTTTGTAGCATAAAACCCTCGCAGCAGACTCCCATGCTTCCTCCACGAATTAACATCTGGGCACGAAAGTCCATTAGATGTTGACTAGGATCCTGTTTCCCGTCAAACGGTTCCACCTGCTGATACGAAGCTGTTCTTTGACAAACCAGACCTCAGATTGACGATCCGAACGGTCAGAATGAAGAACCTCACTTCCTGAACCTATAGTCCAAAAATCAGCCCGATCCAACGGTGAACGACTTCACACCGATTAAAACACAGTACCAGTCCTGTTTTGCGCTAGAACACTTTCACCTACTGATATGAAGCTGTTTCCTCCCAAACCAGGCCTCCGGTTAATAATCTGAACGGTCAGAATGAAGAACCACACTTCTGGAACCTACAGTCCAAAAATCAGCTCGATCCAACGGTGCAAGACCTCACACCGACGAAAACACAGAGCCCACTCTGTTTTTGTGCAGGAAACTTCCTCTCCTTCTCTCTCTCTGGGTCGCGCTCCTCTCTCAAGCCATTGATCAACGCCATCATCTCCTCCATGGTAGGGTGTTGTGGGTCGTGGTTGGATGTGCCGCCTCTCGCCATAGTAGAGTGTAGGTTTTTTCTTGTGACTTGGGGCGTAGGAAGAGTTTTACCGTAGCCCCACGGTGGGCGCCAAAATGTTTCGGCCAAGGGGTGGACTAGGGTTTTTCCCTAGGTCAAGCCTCAAAGCCAGAGCATTCAAAAGTGTAATCTGTCGTCCTAGCTCTAGGGTTTTGGGTTTTATACTTTTGTGTTATGGGCTTCGTGGGCCCCGCGATTATCGGGATCTCCCTTAATCGTTCTTATCTCGAAGCCCTGGGGGTGAGTGGTGGTTAGTCAAGTCGGGATTTTACTGACAAGGCCACTACAAGGAGACCTGTCGGGAAAATGGCGAATGCCCTCGTGGGTGCATGTAATTGGGTTAGAGCCGATTTGCTGCACGCTGTGACGGTCCAGTCGAATATTAGACGAGTGGGGGGCCTGGCGGGCATTTTACCGGGAAGGTACACTTGCCTTCCAGTCCTGAGCCGATAAGGCGAGAGGGCTTGTGGCCTGGAAGACCAGTCGGATATTAGACGAGTGGGGGGCCTAGTCGGAATTTTACCGGGAAGGTACACTTGCCTTCCAGTCCTGAGCCGATAAGGCGAGAGGGCTTGTGACCTGGAAGACCAATCGGATATTAGACGAGTGAGGGTCTAGTCGAACTTTTACCGGGAAGGTACAGTTATCATTCACCTAATTTTAGTTTATAAAAAGTTAGTAATATAATATGAAAAATGAAAAATAATGATTAAAAATTAAGAATCCTAAATTCAAAAATAAAAAAAAATAATTCGATATATTTTATAAACTCGCAATAAAAAAAATATCGAATAAATAATAATAACAAATTGAGGAGAAAGAGAGAAAAAAAAAATACTCATAGGGTAAAAGAGTAATAAAGTAAGGAGAAGTTTGTTTTAGGAGAGAGAAGTTTCTTGGATTTGAAGCAAAGATTCAGAAATATATAGAGCAACGACATTGATACATTGCTTTGCAGTTTACGTACATTCAACACTTTTGGAGTTATGGCACTTGAAGACAGAGAAGACGCTTTCTCGTCATTTATAGCACGCGCACGCCGAAAATTTCGAAATTCTGAAGACAGTGACCCTTTCCTGATTTTTCGAGGTGATGATTGTTGTGTTTGGATGAAAAAATTTATAAATTTAAATTTTTTTGAATTATTGGTATTTGAATTATTTTAATTTTTATTATTTTTAAAATATTTTATTTGAATAAGTTAATTTAAATTTTTTAAATTTTAAATTGTTAGGTTAGATAATAATTTAATTGTATTATGATAAAATTAATTTTAAAAATATATTTATATGTTAAAATTTTTAAATTAAATTTTATAAAAATAAATATTAGCTAATTTTTTAATATTAAATAATAATTAATAATTTTAAAAATATTTTTAAATATTCAATAATTAAAAAGATGAAGACATTGAAGACAGAGAAGCCGCTTTCTCGTCATGTATAGAAAGAGAACGTCGAAAAATTCAAAATTATTCTGAAGCCAGTGACGCTTTCCTGGATTTCCGAGGTGAGAATTCTTGAACCATGTTGTTTAGAATATTTATTGACTAAATTTATTAACATGCATTCAATACTTAGAGCATTTATAATAGGGTTGTTTATATGTAATTTTTTTATTATATTATTATTAAATTAGTACTGGTCTATTTTATGGATTGTTTAAATTTTAGTAGAGTTATTTGTACAAATAATTTTATTAAAATTTAAACAATTCATAAAGTAAATCAGTGTTGATATGACAAAGAGAGAGTTACTTATAACTAACCTATTACATATGCTCTTATGACACCTGTCTTTTCACCTCCGAGTGAAATACAAAATTCCTAAGAGAGAGCTTTCTTGTCATTTATAGAAAAAACACGTCTAAGACGTCAATATACTGAAGTCGTAGGCTTTTTCAGACCATTTGTAGAAAGAGGTGAGAATTCTTGAACCACTATGTTCTTTTAGAATATTTGTTGACTAAATCTATTAATATGCATTCTGCCGCTCAAAAATTAACTAAACTTACAAGTAAATTTTGATCAATATTTTTTTCAGTTTAACTCAAAAAACCACACACATAAATATATATATATATATATATATGAAACGTATTAAGTGAGAGAAAATTTATTATGAGAGATAAAAGAGTTAAAATATAATCTTTAAATTAATTTTACGAATTCCTAAATTTTAGTATATTAAGTGAGAGAAAATTAATCTAAAGGTTATATTTTAACCTTGTCATCTCTTATAATAAATTTGCTCTCACTTGATATGCTTCCTATATATATATATATATATATATATATATATATATATAATAAATTATAATTAATTCAAAATAAATTTCAAAGATACATGAGTTAAATTAAAAAATTTTATTATATAGATTTAAGTGTATAAAGTTTTACAAAATTTAAAAACTATTTAATTGTTCAGTTTAAAATAACGTATAATATAATTTTATAGATATTTATTAATTAAAATTTATGTTGCAAAGTATTAAATGAATTTCATATTTCACAAAATTTTTCAAACTTATCTATTCATAAAGAATATTAAATTTAATAGTTAAATTATTGATATTCAATGCAAATAATAAATTATTAAGTAAAATAACTCTAATAAAATTTATTTTCATTGTAAGTGGATCTCTATATATAAAAAAATCTATAAGAATAAATTTTAATAGAGTTATATATTCTACTAAATAATTTATGTGTTACGTTAATTTTAACAATTTTTATTAAATTAAAATTTTTAATGTATAAATTAAGTCTTTAAATTTTAGAAAAAAAATTGAAATTATTTAATATTTTATTATATAAATTTAAATAAATAGTGGAAGGGGGTGTAGGGGATGAGAGGCACAAGTTAAACCGAAATTAGCTTAAAATCTAATGGTAAAAGTCATAGTTAAAACCTAATTTTGTGTAATTGAATAATGAATTACACCAAATAATCATGTTTCGCAGCGTGTGAGACAATTTGGTAGCCTCCCTCGTTTCTCTGTCCATTCAAGCTTGGTGTGATCGAGGACTGTTTCTAACAAACTTTACATCTAAGCCAAATTTTTTATTTAAAATTTACTCTTGTTTAATTAAATAATTTTTATTTTTATTTTTATTAGTAAAATTACTAATTAAATTTAACAATTAAGAAGTTTCAATATTTCACACAATGATAACGCATGCAAACACTATTTTGTGACGTATTCTAAAACATACATTACACACATTTAAGAAATTAATTTTTTTTAACATATTTAATATCTTTAATGAAACATTAATTTGTTTTGTTAGCGATTTTTAAAATTTTTAAATTAGAGAAAGAAATTTATGATCACAAATATAAAATTAAGAAATTTATACACATTTGATTCCTTAACGGTGATGCTTTTTTTTTTTCTTCTTTTCTTTCTTGTATTTTATTTTTCCATTTTTTTTTGCTTGATTTTCTCTCTTTTTTAAATTATATTTTTCTAGTCTTTATTATGATGTAAAATTTAAAAGAAATTTTAGTCCTTTTTATAAGTTATTTTAAAATTTCTATAAATTATTTTTTTTTCATATTTTTTCCTTATTAAAGATTGTGGTATATGTGTTTATTATTATTGAATAATGAGAAGAAAAGCTGAAAAATATATGCTTGCTATCTCTCACCTTTTGAACTCTATGATTATCAAATAATTTTATTAATAATGGTGAATTAACTTTGATATAGATTATAGGATAATATCATCATATCTCTTGTGATAATTAATAATAAGTAAGAAGGATCAAACTAATATTCATCCATCTTACCATGATTGTAGTTTAAAGTTTCTATACATATATTAAAGACAATAATAAATTAGGGGGTGAGTAAAAGTGTCAATTCACCCAAAATAGGGTGAGGCGGGTTGGCCCACAAAAAAAAACAAGTTAGAAAAATGTAACCCAACTCACTTAACAATGAGTTGCCATGTTAACTTATTTTAATGAGTTGGTTACTTAGAATTGATGAGTTGATAGGTTGATACATCTTCAACACACCCCATTTTAAAAATAAATCTCAACTAAAGTTGTTCAATATATGAGTTCATCCTATAATTTTATTATATTATTTATGAAATTGATTAAAAGGGTTAAACTTTTTCATGCAAAAGGTAAAATTAATATATATTTCTATTAAAATCAAACACTATACAAGAAAATGTACTAGTAAGATACATGTGATTAAAATAATATATTTCTATTTCATATAAAATAAGAATAATTACTTGGAAAGAGAAATTTAAGTTATAAAATAAAAACACTAATCCAACATAAATTCACTACAAATTTATCTTTTAAAAACACAAAATAAAATAAAGTGGGTTTACAAGTTGACACATTGAGTTGATGGGTTAGGTGAGTTGGTGGGTTTACTTTCTCAACCTAACCCACAAAAATAAATAGGTAGACTTACCAAGTTCAACTCACATTGTCATCTTTATAATATGGGTATCACTTTTTAATATATTTTTAACTAAAATAGTCTATTCTCTAAAAATTTTTTAGTTGTGGTTGTTGAATAATATATGAGGGTACAAATTAAAAAAAATATATTAATATTATATTAAAAAGTGAGAACGTCACTCATTTTAAAATATTTTCAAATGTTAAAATTATAGTTATTGTGGATGGATGGAGTAAAACATCATATATTTTTATAAATCCAACTAAAATAATAACTACCTATATTAGTATACATTATTTAATTATAAGTATCTTATAATAAGAACATGAATTAATATTAATTTTAGCATCCTACATTCACAAATAAATTTGACTAGTCTTGGATGGTTGGCTTCTATTCTTGAAGGGTATCGTCGTTACGAAGACCCCTTGAGATCTTTAATTCCTAACTTTCAACAAAGGTATGTTTCTTCAATGTCGGCCCAACATATTAATTTGTAATTTTTTATTATTATTATTTATAAGTTATTTTACATTTTTTTTTGAATTTCAATAAAAAAATGGTACCAAAATGAATATAAGAATTAATTTCTATAATAATAGTATAATTTATATATAAAAAATTAATAAAAATAATTGAGATAACATCGTAAGAATATCTTGTTGATTTGGTTCCTCTAAAAAAATATCTTATAGTTTTAAGTATTTTGTATAAATATTAAATTAATTTATTTTATTATATTTCCATATTATAAAATATTTTAAAATATGAAATCACTTTAAGAAAATTATTTGAATTTCAATAAATCAGATTTTGAAAAAAAAAATATTGTCTTAATTTTATAATAGTGATGATGAATTTTTTCTCTAATTTAAAATTTTTAGAAATTACTAACAAAAAATTAGTGTTTCATTAGAAATATTGAATATATTAAAAATTAATTTATTAAATTTATATAATATATGTTTATAAAGTACACTCCAAAATAGTGATTGGAGTAGTTATCATTAGATGATGAAACTTCTTAATTTTTAATATTTAATTAAAAAATTTATTAATTAAAAAATTTATTAATTAAATGAAAATAAAACATAAATAAAAAAATATGTCTTAGTCCTAAAACTTATTAGACATTGTCCAGGGTGCGATTGTCGCCACTTAAAGAAGTGAAAGAAGCCATACTTTCTATCAAAATTTCTGAAATAAATAACCTTCATTTGGAGGACTTGCCAAACTTAAAGAGTATATCTTCTGGTGACACTGTGGAATTGCCATCTTTGGAGCATGTGATTGTGAACCGTTGCCCCATCTTAAAGAAGTTCGGTTTGGGAACAATAAAACACTCACAGTTAAAGTCACTCATCTTAGACGGTCAAGTTCAAGTTCAAGACGACATTGATACAAAGATTGCCCATATTTTTGAATTCTTGGTTAGTTCTCCTCTCCTAAAACACTATTTGTTAAGTAATGAAAAATAAAATTTAGTTATAAGTACACAATAAAAAAGAATTCACAGTTAATTATAAATTTCGTTACTTTTAGTCTAAATTATGTATAATTTTAATTAATTTTCTTCTACTTAATTAAAATACTCAAATTCCGCTTTTGTTTCAAAATATTGAAATCCTTTTACTTAAATTTAACAAGAACATCAAATTTAACCCAAACTTAAAAAAAAAAAAAAAAACATTAGTCGAAAGTGATTCTTCTTGGAGTATGTTTTTACGATCCACAAAATCCTTCAAATTTAATTCATTTTACACTAATGTTTTCTTTCTAAACTTTTAACATTATTTTATCCTAAATCTAATAAAATTTTAAGTATTTATAAAAAAAATATATGAAAATTAACGTAAAGATTGAATTTACTTGATTTCAAAATTAGAGACATAATAACTTTAGAAAAAAAACTTAAATGATTATAATCACAAATATTTTAGAGTAAAAGGCAAAATAAAAGAGTGTAATTAAGTCAAAATAATAAATATTAGGCTAAAACCCTATTTTGGTCTCTTATAATAATTGTTTGTTTTAATTCAGTCCCACTTTTATTTTTTATTTCAATTTGGTCCCAAATAAATTAATTAGTTTCAATTTGGTCCCAAATATATTAATTGGTTTCAGAACGGCCCGTTCTGCTGCACTGGTGGTGTGTTAATTTTTGCATCTGGAACGGCCGTTTCAGTTACAAAATTAACACACCAAGAATGCAACCAGAATGAGCCGTTCTGGGTCCAGGTGTTTTCAAAAAAATTGTCATCCACGTGGCATCCACGTATGTATCTACGTGGCATCCACGTGGCCAAAAGTTAACTCTGTTTAAATAATTTAGATGGAAGTCCCACATTGAAACCAATTAATTAATTTGGGACTAAATTGAAACCAATTAATTAGTTTGGGACCAAATTGAAACCAAAAATAAAAGTGAGACTAAATTGAAACAAACAATTAATATAAGTGACCAAAATAGGGTTTTAGCCTAAATATTATTAATATCTATATTTTGGTGAAACTATATATGAATTAAAAAATATAAAAGTTGAGTGAAAATTATAACAAGACCATGCACAATCTTGCAGGATATATTCTCAACAATTATCGACTACAATATTGATAATACTAAGGAATTAAGTAAGGTAATAGACAACCTTCAACCTTCACATTTTACCAACTTGATATCATTCTCAGCAAAAAGTTGTGATGAAAGGATACATAAATTTCTGTCTATTTTGATTAAAAGATCAAAAAAGCTTCAAGTTATCGTCATTAAGCAATGCAAAACATTAGGACATTTATTTGACCTCGAGGAACTTACACCTGATGAGGATGGATATGGTAAATATTTCAAACAACTAAAGCGGTTGGTATTAATAGAACTGCATCAGCTAGCAAGCATATGGAACAAAGATCCAACAGGAACTTTTGTCCTAGAAAATCTTCAAATTATACATATCACAAGGTGCTCCTCTATGAAATACCTATTCACTCATTCTGTAGCTGAGAAGCTTTACCAATTAAATGAATTAAAGTTAGAGGGATGTGAAATGTTAGAGACCGTTGTTGATAATGGTAGCACTAAAACAATTGAGTTCCCAAAATTGAGCAAGGTGGAGTTCAAGTCCCTCTCAAGCTTGATCGGATTTTACCACCATGTAGAAATCCCAAGGTTGAAAACTTTGATTATAGAAAAATGTCCTATGTTGCAAGAATTCACATCTAGTTTTGCAACAACAGGTGCATCATTCACAATTGAAGGGGAGTCTTTCTCTGAGTTGAATGAAGTCAAGATAGATAGTTGTGATAGGTTGATTTGTGTTATCTCTTCTAGAACATTACAAGAGTTGAGGAATTTGAAGAAACTCATTGTGAGTCATTGTAACGCATTGAAAATGGTATTCAACATTTATGAGGAAATATCTTATTCTAATACAGAGCTTTTGCAACATCTTGATGAATTGATTTTGACTAATCTACCCAAATTGACTCACATCATCAACAAGAAAGTTGTTAGGCTCTGTCAAAAGATGCAAATCCTACAAGTGAGCCAATGTGAGTCCATTGATTGGTTACCAATGTCTCTAATGCTAAGATATATGGAAATTTCTAACTGTGGGGCCTTGGAAAAAATCCTGATGTTCAATAAAGAAGAAGGAAAAGCTACATTTTCTCAATTGAAGTTTGTTTTCCTTGAAAACTTAATAAACCTCTCGATTATCTTTCCTTTTTCATCTGAATTTCCATCCTTAGAAATATTGAAAATAAAAAATTGCCCCACTCTAATGACTTTTGTTGAAGTGTCCAATGAGCTAAAAGATCTTCAAGAATCTCATCCTTCAAACTATTTCTTTCCAAATTCTGTAAGTTTCAATTTAATTTTTTTTTATATTTATAAGCATGATGTGTATACGATAAATAAATAAATAAATATATATATATATATATATATATATATATA